CCACGTTCTCAACGATCTCGAGACGTCGGACTTCCGCTTCCTCGCCTTATTGAGAAGCTCGATGCGGGCGCGCTGGCACGAGCGCTCGGCCTCAAGCAGCGCATCCTCGCAAGGCCGCTTGGTGGGAGGCTGCTGGGCCATCAGAGCAGCCGCAAGGCAGCGAGCGTCCCTGTCCGCCCACGCGTCTGGCTTTTCCAGAAGCCATGCCTGCACGCATCGGACCATTCGACCATTCGGCGGACTTTTTTCTTTAGCGCGTCCTCAAGCTCAGCAACGCACTCGCTCGCGAAGATCTTCTTCCTCGAGCGGCGCTCCAGCCGCCAGCGGAGAATTACGATGCTGCGCTCCAGCTCCGCAACACGCTCCTTAGCCAGCGCCGCTCGCTCACGCTCTTTGTCGAGGAGCTCGTTGAAGCGGTCCAGCCGCCAGCGGAGATTTCTGTTGTCGCGCTCCCGCTCCTCGCCGCGCATAGTTTCACCGAAGAGCTCCTCATAGAGGTGCTCGATGAGATGCCGGTGGTGCAGACGCTCGGCCTCGAGCAGTGCATCCTCGCGAGGCCGCATGGGAGGCCGCTGGGCCATCAGAGCAGCCGCAAGGTAGGGAGCGTCCTCGTCCGCCCACGCAGCGGCTTCTCCAGAAGCCATGCCTGCACGCATCGGAAGGCCATCGAGGAAGTCATCTTGAGCAGCTGCGGCGGATCGAATAAGTATTATCGAGAAAGCGAGAAGGCGAGAAAGCGAGAAAGCGAGAAAACGATGAGGATGCTGATGTGGATGATGACCACAACGAGGAAGAAGGTGATGACTATGATGGATGATGACGATGACGACTGATGATGATAATGATGATAATGATGATGATGGTGCGTGATGGATGGATGATGATGATGATGATGATGGTGATGATGGTGATGATGGTGATGATGGTGATGATGGTGATGATGATGATGATGATAATGTTCATCTGTGCAACGAGGAGAATCATTGATGATGATGATGACAGCTGATGATGATGTTGATGATGACGATGATGATGCTGATAGATGATGATCATGGCGCACAGCTGCCGCGAAGAAGCGGAAACTTGAATCTGCTTCATTTTCCAACTTGGTTCTTTTGCAGTTAACCTGATACAGTCACAAGTCAATCTGATCCCCCACAAGTTAATCTGACCCCCCTCACAAGCCAATCTGATGCTTCACAAGTCTATTTGATGCTTCTGCAAGTGAACAAGTCAATCTGATCCCTGTGACAAGTCTGTTTGATCCCCAGCCCCCACATTTCCCGTACGCACCGCTTTGAATTTTCCAATTTTGCCTGTATCTGAGGCTCTCACCTTCTGCTGTACTTTGCAGTCACCTCCATGTTCTTGTAACTAGTGCAAGGCTGACTGAAAGAAACCAGGCTGAGCACATGCTCTCCACATCTTAGTTACCAATCAGTCCAAAAGGAAGACCGCAAGACCGCAGGGCACGCTCCGCTGCTAAAGCGCAGCTGGGTGAGGCTGGTTCTTCAGAAGGTGGATTTACTGTTTCATTGGCCTTCTTCTTAAGCAAGTCCAACTTGTAAGAACGATGGATCTTTCCTGTCTCTGACTTTCGCCCCAGCGTGCTCTGTTACTGCCACTGAGTGGGTGCTGAATCTTTGTGGAAAAACACTGGTACCTCGCCTTTGGTTCAGCAATGTTTTCAGCTTGCCGCCGAGTGGCCTGCACTCGGTCCTGCAAGTCTGAGCCACTGTGGCATTCTTGTCTTGTAGTGTTGTGTGTTTTGCTGTTTTGGTAGTGTTAGGTGTTTTGTTGTGTGGCTTGTTTTGCTGCCAGTGACAGCAAGCTCTGAGACATTTGCAGCAGGAGGCTTGAAAACATGTTTTTGTGACGGTCAATCTTGGTTAAGTACACGCAGCCAGTTAGGCACAGCTGGATTGTCAGCACGCCTGGCGTCGTGATGGGTTTGTGCAACATCCGTCTTGTTTTCAATTTAAGGCGTTCGATTCTCGATTCACAAATGATGGAGGATTGCCACAATTTGCAAGCCTGTGCATTCGCGTGGTGCGCGAAAGTAGTCTTACTTGGGAACACGTTTGCTCTTGCACGGAACGTGGACAATCAAATTGAAGTCGACCCGAATCTGGCGAAGCTGCTGCAATGAACCGGAGTCTCCGTTGCCATTTAGTTTGGGGCGTCTGTCTGGTTGATAGCACGCGCCCATTTGGAAGGGTGCGGGTTCATGTCTAAAAGCGGGCTCAAGAGCTTGTATTTTGCCATTTGTGTTTTCATGGATCGGATCGTTTTGAGATCGAATCGAAGGTATGAAAACAAATGGTGTCATGAGATGGTTTTAGAATCATCATGATACTGATGAGTTCATTAGGACTCTGTCTTTGTCTATGGCTAGGGCATAATGCTTCGTGGTTGCAGTAAAGGACGCTAGGTAGCAGTGTAGGAACAGTGCGAAAATGAACGCACTTTCGCGCGCTCAAGCTAAAGGCCAGCAAGGCCGCCAAGGGCTTGGAGGATGCTATTCAATGAGAGGCAAAATGCGTTCATATGCGATCACAATGTTTGCTGTCTGCGTGGCAAGAAGCTCCGAGGAGCTCAGCCGTGCCACGTCTCGTTGCTAATCTTTGAAGAACAAGGCCGACTAGAGGGGTTCGCCCAGTTGCTGTGGCGAGTTTCCAGCACTCGTTCGCAGCTCCAATTTAGCAAGGACCGCGACAATAGACGCATCCCATCGATTTGTGTGAAAACAGATTGAAGAAGCGCGCAGCCACTGGAATCGACCATCGCTCTCATTGCTCCAAAAAAAGGTCGATCTGAGCTATCGTCAGCGCTTTGTTGGCAATTGGCGCGCACCGGATTTTGGAGCAACCGGTGCTGCACACAAAACAACTCCAGCGATAAAACATGTTATTCAAACGAATCATGATGCCCCGACCAAGTCTGCAAACGCCGCAAGAAAATGGACGCGTCGGACTGTCGGACATGGCCTCCCGAGTATTTTGGTCATTTACTAAACAAACGCTTCAATTTTGGTTGGCAACTTTGATGCCGAGAGACTTTCTGCACAAATATTGCCTCCCCAAAACAGAATCAATGGCTGGACAGGTTGCTCGCGGGTCTGAACCCGACCGCGGCTAGAACCTTAGCAATGCTGGTTTGGTTCATTCGTTTCTGGGAGTCAATGGCAGCAAGTACGGCATCTTAAATTTTGGTTCCATTTCTTTCTGGGTGTAATTGGGGGAAGTGAAGCTTAGTTGCCTCCCGTTCCTAGCTTTCAGAGAAGGAATATGATTTGTATGTTGAATAAATTGCTATCTCAAGCAATTGCACAGCTTGTATTTTGGAAATAACTTGTGAAATTTGTGGTTCTTTTGCTACAATCTACAGCTTTTTGGTCCAAAGTTTGGAGGGGTCCTTTTAGCCAAGGCCCTCCACGGTAACCATGGCGAAGCGGCAATCCTTGCTGTTGCGGCTGGCCGTTCTTGCCTGCGCGCTGTTGACCCTGAAGCAGTTGGCTTTTGTTGCAGGCCCTGGTCAGCAGCCGGCTCTTCGTGGTCAGGAGGCTGCTTTGGCCGGAGCAGTGCTGGCTGCTTTGCCTGCCAGCCCTGCATTGGCAACAGACCAGGCTTCGGACAGCTTCAGCAAGACGGATGTGATCGTCATCTTGGTCCCCATTGTCGTCACCTGGATCGCATTCTTGGATTGGGATGCCAGGCAGCCTTCTGCCGATGACGTCACTGGTGTGGGCTACCTCGGCCCCACTGTGGACGGCCCATCACCTGACCAGCCTGCCTACTACCGCCGCAGCCCCGAGAACGGCTAGACTGATGCGGTGAGAGGTTTTTCAACAGACTTCCAAGAGTGCAGCGTGGCACATTGCAAAACAGGGGCCTGCTTTTGCACATGCGTTGAGGGGAAATTTTGTGGCCGTTGAAGTACAAACAACATGCAGCATGAACCATTCGTTTTTTGCGCGTCGTACTTTTGTCCTTGTGTGGACACGGGTTGCAGCTTGTCGGCCATTGGAACTAGGACCAAAGACAAGGTTTTGGATGAGTTGGCAGTGTTTGCACAAGTTTTGTGTGGCATTAACCTGGCATTTTCTTGCAGACGGACTGAGCACTTGCTGAATTTTGTGCCTTCATGCAGCGTTTTTGGTCCAAGGTTTGGAGGGGGGTCCTTTTAGCCAAGGCCCTCCACGGTAACCATGGCGAAGCGGCAATCCTTGCTGTTGCGGCTGGCCGTTCTTGCCTGCGCGCTGTTGACCCTGAAGCAGTTGGCTTTCGTTGCAGGCCCTGGTCAGCAGCCGGCTCTTCGTGGTCAGGAGGCTGCTTTGGCCGGAGCAGTGCTGGCTGCTTTGCCTGCCAGCCCTGCATTGGCAACAGACCAGGCTTCTGACAGCTTCAGCAAGACGGATGTGATCGTCATCTTGGTCCCCATTGTCGTCACCTGGATCGCATTCTTGGATTGGGATGCCAGGCAGCCTTCTGCCGATGACGTCACTGGTGTGGGCTACCTCGGCCCCACTGTGGACGGCCCATCACCTGACCAGCCTGCCTACTACCGCCGCAGCCCCGAGAACGGCTAGACTGATGCGGTGAGAGGTTTTTCAACAGACTTCCAAGAGTGCGGTGTGGCGCATTGCAAAACAGGGGCCTGCTTTTGCAGAGGTGTGTCTTTGAGCTATTCAGCTGCCAGGTGGGTTTGCATGACGATCAGGGCCAGCATCGTCCCTCTGGTTTTGGCTTAAGCGCTGCTCGGGCAGCCATTTGGGTGAGCAGTTGGCACCCTGGATACGCAAGTATCCGCTGAAGGTGTTGTGAAGCGGGGCTTTGCCAACTGCAGTAGTCAACCCTGAAATGCAAGACTCTGCACAATTTTGCATATTGGTTGTAGCCAGCAAAGGCAAGGCAATGTTGGGCAATTGAGATTGACCAGCTTCACCTCCACACTCATGGCACGCACCCTTGCCCCTTTGATCGGGGAGATCTTCACGTTGGATGGCGCCGCGTGTGCTGCACCTGGCATGCGCGGTTGCGTTGACAGGCGAGTCGGGAATCGGGAGGAGGTCGAGGGCTGAGGCGCAAATGGCGCAAGAGACAGAATAAGTAGACTGAGGCTATGCTCTCTTTGATGCAAAGAGGGACCTGGCTTGAGCGACGCTGGTTTGTGATGAACTATGAGCATTTGATATCGTGGGTGTAGCTTGGACGTAGGGCTACCGGCTTATGAACGGGAACAAGTCTCGTTGCGGATACCATCGTTGCATCTTCAGGGTGGGGTTCTGCTTTTTGTTTTCTTGGCCTCTTTCCCTTGAATGGTAAGGCTTAGTGAAGGGATCGAATTACTATCCCGCGCAAACGGTTGGTGGATGGCCCAGCTTGTCATTTTTGAAGGTAGCCTTGTTTGGGTTGTACAGGGAAATCAAGAGGACGCCTCTCATTTTGGGGCCTCTGATTTTGAGACAAACTGGGGGCGCCCTTGGGCTCTTGCCATCGCTTTTCGCTGGACGGGAGGGCCCGCCTTTGTGCTGCGGCGCGCCGCGCCGAGCAGCGTAGAGGCCCGCTTGATGGCTGAGACACAGGTCCCACCAGTGGTAGGCTGCTACAGTCCTTCGGATGACGCTTTCATGTAAGCATTCTGATCGCTTGGTGATGTTTCCCTAGTTGAAGCTAAAGCGATATTTGAAGATACATGTTCCTTTCCTCAAAGGGTATTGTGCACAGCTTTCCAGGTCACATGTCTCAGTTTTACAAGTCACGGGCGACGGGGATTGGCATGTGTCTTGTCATTTTGATTGCTAGTCTTGCCCGGGCCAGACTACCACTTGTGTGTTGGTGCAGCTTAGTGGCGCCTTGCTCAACTTGGTTCGTGCTTATCCAGCTTGCGTACACGCCTACGTGGCCCCTGTACTCAGGTGCCGGCGACCTATGCAGAGCAGTTCGCTGGGGTGCTCCCAGATGACTTCTCTTGGGAGGACGCGAGAAGATGTTATTGGGTCGCATGGGGTTGGGGCAAGCTGCCTCACGCCTTGCTCAAAGGCGCCGAAGCAAGGCATGCTGAGGCAGGAAGACCGGCCAATCCTGGCTTTGCGTACAGTAGGAGGCTTTCGAGTGTGATTCGATGCATTCGCTTCTTGGTTGAAGGCTGTGCTCGAGAAGCGGGCAACATCACACAGGAAAGACGCGTTCAGTCTTTGAATGCAACCCGAGACCCAAGGAGCTCACCCGAGCGAGGAACCGAAGCCAAGCCTCAGGGTGCACACTTTGAGCCCAAAACGAACTCCAAAACGACGAGCTGAAACTCGGCGAGGACTTCCTCGAGGCGTCCCAGCGCCCGGTGCGGCCCTGCGTGCGGGTGAACTCCCTGCGGGGCGGCTGCCGCCAGCGCGCGGGCCCCAGCCGAAAATTGAAAGATGAGACGTCCGACGGAAAAAATGGGTGGTTTCCTTTTGAGTTGCCAAAAGGGTACCCAACAGCCAAAACAGTACCCAACAGCCAAAACACACACCCAAATGCAGTGGGCCACTGGCACGATTCTGTACCACATGTGTCTTCGGCATCCGGTCCTTACCTTCTGCCTCGTGTCTGGATGCTTTTCGATCAATGATGGGCATTGACAAGGGCTCCCACGGCTCCAAGCATTTAGAGTGGATGTGTCGGATCGGATAGGGCAAACAAAACAATATGCTTTTCCAACACACATGAGCAGCATCATGATGGGCGACCGGGGCAAACATTGGTCAACTATTTGATTGTTCCAAGGCAGACGGGATTTGGAGTTTTGGACCCCAAGAGCAAGTGTTGCTCTGCTCAGTCGTGCCTTTGCGAATGTCCAACATGACGGGGCACCGTGCGATTAGCATGTATCATACCTCTATCTCGCCCTTGTCCCACAGATCGGTGTCTCGAGCGTCCTCTGCAGGGCTTTTGGTGAGTCCAGATGGGGAACCTCCACAGGCACACACTTATAATTCCTTCTGAGGACTGTAGATGGGGGCAGAAACTCCTTTTGGCCACCCAGAAAAGAATCAGCGAAGAACAGCCATCTCCGGCGGCTTGCCTTGACCAAGGCCTGGCTCTTTTTGCCTCGCTCGCTCAGGGTTCCCCCGTTTTCGTCGCTTCGCCCCACATCTCGCCAGCAGCGAGGCGTTCAGCGGCTCGGGGCTTTGCATGGCTGGCGACTGGGCGCCGCGGTGCCCTGGGGCGTGGGCGGCTTCTGGGTGCAGTGGCTCGGAGCGTTTTGAGGCCTTCAAACGAAGGTGAGCCACAATCAAAACCTGGCCAAATGAAGTGTAGTCTGGGAATGTCCCAACCAGAAACGGGTGCAAGCGCCTTTGTAATTCTTGACATGTGTTCTGGGTAGACCTCTTTTTAATACCCAGATTTGATTATGACTCAGGCGACATGGGTTGATCATGATTTTGAGAATGCAAAGGATGTTGGAAGAAAATGGAAGGATTTGGCCCGACATTTTGGAGCTTTTCACAAACGGAAAGGAAGTTTTACCGCTTTGCCATTTTGTGGGATCAAATGTTTGGATTCTTTTTGGTTTCCCCAGACACATGAAAACTGGGGGTCACTCCCAGACAGTTTTAAGAACTCAATCAGAAGCCCGAAGTTTCTTTCAGAGGATTGAAGCGCGGAGACCTCGTGGGGAGCGTCAACTGGGCTGTCTCTCGATATGTATAAACGACCAATTATATAGATGACACTGACAAGTAAACAAATTGATAACACACTTATCATACATATAAGTAGCTAACTAGACATAACTGCATAAATTCATACAACAAGTGACTTAACTTATAAACAAACACACGAGCAAATGACATAAATGAGCAAGTAAATCAATAAGCGAAGATAAGTAGAATAAATGAATAAACCAGCAAACACATAACTATGTAGACATGCGTTGAGAATTCACTGCATATCTTCCATTTGCTTAAGTTCCATGGACAACATATGTTTCCATTCTGGAAGGTATGTAGTATATATTTATATACTGGAGAGAGGGCGGATCGAAAGCTGATAGCATGTGCCAAAGAGCCAACTCTGCTTTGTCACCAGCCTTGGTCAAGATCTCTTTGTTCTTCAGTAGTTTTCTAGAATGCTGCTTCTGCCTCCTATGGTTCTGCTTTGGGCCACTCCGGCTTCCCCGATCTCAGGCAAGTTAACGTCCCTTCACTGGAAGAGGAGGAGGACGGCCCTCTCGTGGTTTCATGGCTCAGTGTCAGCGTCTTTGCCAACTCGTTGCGCCCTGGTCTTGCTTTTGTGCCTGGTCTTACTTTTGCGCCCTAGTCAGCCAGCGCAACCGCCCAACTGCATCCTTCGCTTGACTGGTCCAGGAGCTGCCTGCGGCTTGGGCGAAGATGGCTCGCAAGAAGGTCCAAGGTCGGGCGAAGATTCCCGCGCGCCCGGAGGCGCCAAGAAAGTTTGATTGGATGCCCTTCCGGCAACGTCCAACTTTGAAACCCTGGGTTAGAAGCAGTCAAGTTAAGGCCGAAGCTGATACCGAAATCCGCAGGCCTCGAGGCCGGCGGCCATTGGCTGGGGAAGCGACCCGGCCTTCGTCAGTGGCCAGGTTTATGTGCAGGAGGCAAAGGGAGAGGACGAGTCGACCCACTTAGCATGGAGATTCCAGGATGCAATAGGAAAGCAGTGAGTGAGCTATGCCCAATGTGAGCTATGCCCAATGCTGGCAAAAGTCTTTGTGACACGTGCAGCTTAGGTCGAAAGGGTGTCATCCTTTCGACAGCTTTCCCATCATGATATAAGAGGTTAGCCAAAGGGAACGCCATTGTGGAAAGCCGCCCAATTTTTCGTCACACCTTCAGACATTCCCCCTTGCAGGCCTCCTCGCTCCTCCCAGTGGCGGCGCTTTTGGATGCCTTCCAGGAGCCGCCGGAGGGGCTCCGAGTGCTGGACATGGCAGCGGCGCCGGGGGGCAAGACCACGGCGGCTCGAAGTGCTGATCCTATTTGGGTTAAGCATCCGGCCAAGTAAAAACAAGGGGGAAAAAGGGGGACGCCAAAAATGGTGGTATGCTTTAAGATTCTGATTTCCCTTTAAATCAACAATTGAAAGGCTACCCTCAACAACAATGGTGTTTTGCAGGACTACCATCGCCTTCAGGAGACCTCCTGTCAAGTTCCATGTTTAATGGAAAGACGGTATTCAAGGGTTCAAGATCATGAATATGGGTGGCTCGTCCGTTGAGAAACTAGGAAACCGAGGCCACTTTGGGTGTCTTCAAAGCAAGACACAGGTCCATGGATGGCTTCCTATACCCTGCAGTATATGGATGGTATGGGCCATTGTTTTTTGGATTCGGGGTTGTGGGACCCGTCCTTGCTGGGAAGAGTCATCCATGATTTGGGCGTGTCTCTTTTTTGGGGAACCCCTTTGTCGCTGGTTTTTCAATCTTTTCTTTTGGGGGAGTCCTTTAAAAAAGACGCCCATTTCCGGCCTTGTCTCTTCGATTTGGCCGCCTCTGAGGCGCTCTGCGCCTGGCTGGCAGGGAAAGGAGCGGTTGTGGCCAATGAGCCCAACGTGGCGCGGTGCAAGGCTGGAGATCGGGGGGCCGTGTCTGCTTTCTTTCTTCTTGCTCTCAGATTCTTTTTTGTGAGAACATTGTGAGTTGCTGTTTTTCATGGCGTCTACATGGCATAGTCAGATAGCAATGTTTGCTTCTTGGCTTCCACCTCCAAGCGGCTGTGAGAGGCTATCTGGTGCTTCTCGCAGTTGTCAGTTCAGCGGTCGCTTCTGCCACCGCGCGAATGTGCGAGGCGCTAGTGGAGAATTTGCTGCGAACTGGCTCCGCTCCTCATGCCTCTCAGAATGCAAACGCGGATGCGTCTCAATCTGGCCTTTGCCGGGATGTGGGATGCAACGCCTTTTCCTGTGTTTGATGCTGTTCACAGGACAACCTTTGGCATTCGTGGTGCATGTACTTGTCGAGGCGGCTGTGACGCAGATGGATGGCCGGCAGTGTGGCAAGCTCTGGCCAGGCCACTTTGATGCTGTCGGAGCCTCAGAGTTCCTGTGAACGGCCCCGACCACTGCCCGACTTAGCCTCCTCTTCACTAACAGGAACTCACCACAGGGTTCCCTTTACCGGAACAATTATTCTGTGTGGAAAAGAAAACGTGGACGTTTTCTTGTTCAAGCAGCCATTTGCTTGGAGCATTTCCCTAACAAATGACACCACTGATCAAGTTAAGGTAGCATGCTGCTGGACAGAAACACACAAACACAGAAACATGGACTGAATTTCATGAATTCCCGCTTTTGCTAGGGTTTATCTTCTACAAAACTTTTGTGCGAGGCTCATGAGCACTCAATCCCATCTTGTGAAACAACAGCTTTCGGCCTCTTTCAGTGGACTGCTTCATTTTTCCCATCCCTGTACCATATGTGACATGGGATCATTTTCAGAGGGCAAGCTCGCGGACTGGGACCCGCATGCGTGCGGCCTGAGGCAGTCTCCTTTTGAGGGACCTCAAAAGTTATTCTAGCCGTTCCACCCCCCCCAACATGGAGCTTGGAGACTGGAACACATGGAGCACACTTTGCTTCTAAGCGCGGCCTTCTCTCGTGGCTTCCATGGTAACATGAAACGGCGGGTAGAGCCAAACGAAACCATTCATATCGTCCACTTCGACCAATTGAACCATTTGACTCTATATGATATATGTGTCACCTGGAGTTCTCCACCCCACTTCCACCCAACTTCACCCAACTCCAACAATTTTGGGCCATTTCCCCGCAAAAGCGGGACTTTGGCATTTTGACCGCGGCCACCGAGGTGCTGCTGGACGCGCCCTGCAGCGGCGAGAGCCTCACCCGCCGGGGGGAGGCAGAGGCGCTGGCGCCAAAGCCGCAGTACGTCGAGGGCCTGCGGCCCGGCCGGACGTCGGAAGTGGAGGGAGCCGGTGGCGAGAGAATTTTGTTTATTTTGTTTGGGGGGTACCTTTTTGAGGTTAGCTTAAGAAGGGGAACCAACAGGAAAACAGCCATTTACAAGGTTCTCTTATTTTGAGACACCCCCAAATGGTGTGTGTTTTTGGGTGGCTAAGGTTTTTCCCTTGGCCTGCGGAGAACTGCTCCCGGTTGGTATCTTGGTGCCCTGGTTTTGTGAGTGGGTGCCCGTTTTTGGTGGGCACCTCTTTTTGGACAGGTGGCACCATCTATCTTTGGAAGAGACTGGGGCCTCAGTTGGGGCTCCTTGTGTTGCATGGATTCTTCGAATCAGTTTGGGGATTCCGATTTTCAATGTCGACTTCTTGATCGTTTCCTTTTAAAATAGTCTCACAAAGCAAGTTTTTTTTTGGTTTAAACACACACACAAAACACGCAGGATCATGAACACTCTTTGAAATCAAGTGCCAGCAAAGGGGCTCAATGTCCATGGCCAGTGGAGGTCTGGGAAGACTAACAATCAAGGGGGTCAAATTTTGCCTCAGCTGGAAGGCTTTAGTGTCTCTGGTTTGACAGGGAATCCTTGCTGACACGTTCTGACTGGACTGCTGTGGTGGTTGACCGGCGGAGAGCGCATCACGTCATTGGACCGCTTAGCGCTTAGAAACAACATTAGAGCTCCTTTCCAGCCCTTCGGGGGTTTCCAGAACACTGACCAGAGCTGCCTCCATGACATTCTCAGACCTTTGTACCCCCACCCGCTGCCAGCTTGGGCGTGGGTGGGGTTGTTTGCCGGTTGAAACTCGCTTTCCCTGAGCATGTTCCTCTGCAGATGAACTTGGAACCCAAAGAATTTCACTTTGGGAGGAAGTTCTGTTTCATTCTGGATCATGCCAAAATGCTGGGGAGTCATCATCCTAGAGCAATCCTTTTTTGTAGTTTCCTCCTTTTTTTCCCTTCATTTTTCCTGGAGACGCATGGAGTACCCCTCGCGAAGTCGAGGTCCAAGCTGCAGCGCCAGCTCATCAGCAGCGCCTTCCAGGCCCTGAAGGCGGGCCTTTTGGTCCGATCGGTGTGAGACTGAGCGTTTTGTGGACGCCTGGGCTGGGATGCGGATTAGCCAGACTTGCGAAATGACCATAACCCCCCAAACCCTGAAAAAACAACAACTGGAAAACGATATGGGACGTCCTAACATCGGAATGAATACACCCAAGACAAGTAATTTTGATGCTGACTCATATGCAGTATTGATGTTTGGCAGCAAGGGCAATTAGCACGAAGCTCGGCCTGCGCAGTCATGATTTCTAGATCAAGGACAGTGCTCAGCTCTGCATCAAGCAAGAATGAACACGGTCTCTCTTATCCGGCCAGTGGACAGGTAAATGGTTTGGAGTAAATGTCGCTTTCTTGCATTCCAGCCCCTTCCGGAGGTGGGCGGGGTGTTGGTCTACAGTACCTGCACTCTGAACGTGAAGGAGAACGAGGAAGTGCGCCCAGGGCATGCACTGAAGTGGCACTGGGTGGCAAACAGTCTGTGTGGGGCGACTTCTGGCCAGTCGAATGGGAGTTTGCTTCGGTCTCTTTGGACTGGGTCGCTGAACATTTGGGGTTCTCAACATGAGTTTTGGGGGGTTGTTCCCCTTTAAGCAACCAGCTAGAGGGTCATTCAGTTGGAGCTGTGCTCAGGTGCAGCTATTTGCTGGATGCCTTCCCTGGGGCAGTGGAACGGGAGGCATTGGATTTGCCAGGCCAGTGTAGGGTGTCGGGGTGGGGGTGGTCTTAGGAGGCAGGCGTCAACACAGCAACACAGAAGGAGCACCCGGAGCAAGATTTGAGGGGACCGCATCAAGAGATCAAGAGGCTGCGGTGGCTTGTCGGCAGCTGGAGGTCCTGTAACAGAACTTCAGAAGAGGTCTGTGGCCAGTATGGCAGCCTGGAACCTGAAACCAAGTCTCAGCTTCTCTCCTCCGCACCCACCAAAATAATGAAAATAATGGGTTTGTTGAAGGCATGTGAAAGCGGATAGTTCTGGGCTGTCAGCTTAAGGGATTCGTTTCATGTCCTTTTTGGTGTGGTGTCAGTTCCCTGCAACCAGGGCAGCTCTTTTAGTTGCGTTTTTCGCTTTTTTTTTTGTGCGGTCAGGCACCGAGAAGATGCGCACGTCCGACGGCTTCTTGAGATGCTGGCCGCAGATCTGCGACACCCAGGCACCTCGTCGGCTCGGGTTTGGCAAAGAGAAGAAGGCACCCAGAGGCGACGCATTCGGTGTGCCCAAAGTCATCATCCAAAGGTACCAGAAGATCCTTTCATGTTTTTCCCCCAACAGCTGAAAGCTTTGGGGTCTCCCCAGATAGGCGCCGGGGTGGCCCGGGCGGTCTGAGGTAAGGTTGCACCAGGGTTCCACGAGGGTTCTACGAGGTTCTGCAAGGGCTGCGGGGTGCGAGCACTAAAAAGAGCCCCGCATGCTGTTGGGTTGGGGGGCAGCTTTAGCCGAGTGTTGCGTGTTTTGTTTGTGTGTTGTTGTCGTTGGTTTTGGGTGCTATAGCCTGGTTCCACTTTTCGGCCGGCGGGTGGCTTTGTCCGTTTCCAGGGCTTCTTCGTGGCGCGCTTCCGGAAAACCGCCGATGTGTCCGGATCGGCGGAGGCAGAGCTGAGAGAGGGACGGCGCAGTGGCAAATGGGGTGTATGTCAAATGAGGGCACTGACAAAATGGTGATTTTCTTTGGTTTTGATTTTAAGTTGTCTTTACACCAACCTTAGAAAGGGTACCCCCAAACGGGTTTGTCTCAAAATTCGGGCACCCTTATGGGTTCCCTTTGAAATCCCTATGAGTGGTTTCCTTTTGCCTGTCCTTCAAAACACATCCGCACAAAACAGAGACCAAGTGCGCTTCCAAGCAGGAAGACAGCCACAAGCCTGTGACGAGTGAGAGCATTGGAGCGAAGAACAAATTCTGATGTGCGCAAGATTTCACGGAACTTGGCAGAATGTTTCGCAGAATTCTTGATTCAATCCCATCATTTGGCCAAGGTCTTCTCCCGTCCGGACACGTTAACTCGGGACCTTTCAGCCAGGCGGAGCCGGACACAAAGCGCCTGGAGCGGCTCAGCGAGCGCGAGGCGCGAAAAGATTGGTGTGGTGGGTTGGGTTGGGTCTTTATTTGGCCGGGTGTTTGGTTTGGGTTGTCGGTACTATGTTGCTTTGCCGTGTGTTTGATTATGTTGATCCAATATGCTTTCGCTATGGGGTTTATCGTGTGCTGGCAGGCAGGCAATTTTGCAGTGCTCTGCCAGGCTTTAATTTGTGTGCTGCGTTGTGTGTTCTGTTGTTCCGCAACTTTGAAGAAGTTGCAAAGTCAGATTTATTCAGCATGCCTGTGGTTTGTTGCTCTATTGCGCTTTGTGCTGCTTTGATCGGCATGTCGCGGTACGATTAGCAGTGCCGAGCTGTTTTCACACGTCGATGCAGTTGCGTGACTTTTCATTTTGTTATGCTTGCTTTGTTGCTTGTCTTGTTTTGTTGTTGTGCCTTGGGTTTAGCTGCCATTGGTTGGCCTTTTTTGGTTTTGCTCTGAATGCTTGCCAAAGTCTTATTGGAAAGGCACAACGAAGGACACGAGGATGCAAAGGTAGCCAAGGATGCAAGGCTCATCAAGCGCAAAGCCTTCCATGAGGCGCATCGACTTCTGTCTACTCATTATTTTCTTGTTCCAAAGGGCCAGCAGACGATCTGGGGCTCCTCTCCACCATTTCCGCCAACCGGACCCCATCCAGCGGTTTTCGCCTTTTCGCCACGCCCACCGGAGCCGCTAAAGCCGCATTTGGAGGCGGCCGCGGTGCAGCGCGCCTTCGAGTCCGCGTGGCTTGGCGCCGGAGAAAAGATTTGCATCGCAGGCATCGGCATCGCACGCCTTTCCACATTGGCGAGCAAATTCCACATGGCTGATACAGCACTGCGGCAGTTGAGGGCGAAGGCGAGCCAACTCAGAGGTGCGATTTTCCGATTGCTTGGGCAAACATGAAACTATTCAAACGTTGAGCAGCAGCAACAGCAGCCAGGCACGCCCAGCTTTCCTCGGACCAAAACAGACAAATCCGCAAGTCACACAAGCAATAAACACCAAACAACCAAAACGCGCGTCAAAACAATCCCATCCCCCGATCCCCCTGCTTCGGCTGATTGCTTCCGATTTTGCTCGCCCAGGTTCGGCTTGAAAGTTGACGGGGATCTGCAACGCTCTGGCGGGGAAGTGTGGCTTTGCCCGGAGGCGCGAATTTGCGGCTCACGGTCGCGAAAGTGGTTTGGTGTGATTGGTTTGCTGATGGGTGTCCTTTCAAATTGGTTTTCTTTTGGTTTCCTAGTGTTTTTTTGTTTCAATCCGGGCTGGAGACACCAGGGTCATGTGGGCGCCAGCTCAAGCATGTGTCAGCATGGAGCATTTTTTGCCATCATCCTTATCTAGGTTCCTTTGGTCTGGTTGCCTAAAATTCTGCCCAACCCCGAGATTTCGACTCTGTGGTTGGGCACATTTGTTCTGAGGGGTGCATGGTTGATCAGCATGAAGAAGGGTTAGCCCTGGAGCTGCTGGCGCTGCGGTCTTGTGATGATTCATTCAAGTGGCTATGAAGGGAGTCCCATGACGCGCTGTGACTCGATAAAGGCTTGGTTTTGTGCCCTGAATCGCCTGAAAAGTCGACTAAGCGTAATTAAATGATAATAGACGGCTGTGCTCGACCGTGCCTGTTGTCCTTTTGAACGATGAACACCGCAAACCAAATCCGGGAGTGATTTCCATCGCAGGTGGTGGAACCGCAAGGACGGCTTTGGCAACTCTCGATGGATCAAACAATCAGCCACGAGTGCATGATACAAGGATTGCTTTCGATTATTGCACAGGATTTTGGAATATTGGAGGTCAATTTTCGGGTTCCATCTCACTCAAGCAATGTGGAAACCGTCACTGCGGCCCACAGCAGATTTTTTGTTCGCTGCGCATGGACCATGATCGTATTCCGTATCAGTTTGCTTCCCGACAGTATCGTTAGCTTCGCCAAGCAGATCTCCCCCTTCTGGTTTCGGCAATCCCTTCCGTCCCCTTTCGTGGACATTGGTACTTGGGCTCTCCGAAAGGTTGGTTTCCTTTTCGGACTCCCTTCAAAACCATCTAAGAACAGATCCCCAAGCAAGAGTTGGAAACCCCGTCAAACGAAATCGGCTCCTTTTTTGGTCCAAGCCGACTCGCCGCTCGCCGATTCGTTTCCAAAGAGACGGACACGGCAAACGTCGACGTCGCGGTCTCAGGCGCTCTCCGGGCTCCGCTTCTCGGGGCCGCGGCGCTGCGGCATCCGCCTGGCGCTCACGCGGAGGCCGGGGGGTTTGCACCGGCCCTTTGGATATGTTTTTGCGTCGTTTTTTCTTTTTTGGTGCTTGCTTTTTGTTGTTTGGGGAGGGGTGGAGGTTGTTTGATGTTGTTTGCGGTGTTTGTTGGGGGACTGTCGACTCTAGGTGGTCGCAGGTTTTGAATCAGCTCTGGGCGAGATCGCGGTGTTTGGGCCTGGCTTGGGCAGATAGTGGAAAAGCGCCTTTTCAGGGAATTCTGAAGCAAAGTCGCAGATATTTGCCAGCGTAGGGGGTGAGAACAAACTTGGCATTGTTCGAGCACGTTCGCCTTGGTCAACCGTCTTAGTGTCCCCTGCTATTCACATCTCTCTCAGAAGTCCTCCTTCCTCCTCCGCAAGGCAGGGTCTCGCCTATCCAGCACACCACGAGTGGGCCAGCAGCTTAGGGGAATCTGGATTCTCTTGTCATTATGTCTCAAAAATCATATATAAATATATATACATACAGATAGTCTTTTTTTTGACGACATACGGCGCGGTGCACATGTGTGTCACTCAGAGCTGGGCGTCTGCGTCTGAGGTCATGTCCTTCGGCCACGAGGTGCCTGAAGACGGCTTCGGTGCCTGGAGCCCTGGGGAATCGCCGAGTGTCTTGAAGGAATTGGAGCCCCAAAATGGCTTCGTTGATTTTTGCTTTATTGCTGGTTTGGGGGGAAGCTGATGTCCCCAAAGACCCTTTCCCCAAAAAAGGAGACCCCTCAACAAAAGACATACCCGGATCAGAAGGGCTGAGAGTTTCTTGGGCCGAGAGCCTTGAGGGCAAGCAGGTGCCCGAAGCGCGGCCTTTCTTTTGGGAAGGCTGGCTTTCTGCCCCCAGTGAAAAGGAAATGCTCAAAACAGGCTGGAAAATGGGTGGGAATTTGAATGTGCCGGTTTGAGAAGGCGTACTCATGTGCAATTGACATTGCATGATGGTTACAGTAAAATGTATTCAAGGATATTGGCTCTTGACATGTTCAAGCGAGGGTTCTGCTCGAGAATCGCACTTTCCTGCCTTCCACAAACCCGCCATGGCACATGGCATCGGTGGCTTCTTGGAAGTTAGGGAAGAGCAGTTCTTTGCCAAGCTGATCACGGTCAAGTCCAAAGCTCGGGCGTGGAGGAGCCAGGAAGCAATCGGACGCAGTGCCGTCGTCAAAGTTGCTCTTCGCCTCTTTTGGCTTTGCTCGTTGAATAAGAGCCCAACGCTGACGAGTCCGGGAGCGGATCTACGTCACGGTGGTATGACACGTCCAGGAGTTAAAATGCCGAGACATTGGCAAAGGCGTGCAGCTGCGAGCTTCGCCCAACGCGTTCTTAACACCAGCTTGGTGAGAAGGAATGCTGCAAAGATGAGCGGAGCGGAGTCAACTTAAACTCCACTTTGCTCATTGAGTTCAAGATATCTTTTGCTTGACGGCTCATCGCGTGGGGTTTTGCTGCAATGTCGATAACAAATTGCGATGCTTGGGAAGTTCCTTCGCGCCAAAGCCCATGCTGCCGCTCCACGAGAAGCCGTGGAGACCTTCGTGAAGGTTCGTGGCCATGTCCACAGGCGTTCAGAGACAAGCATTTGGTGGTGAGCGCAGGGTACGCCTCGTTTCGGACGATCCCTATGGACCCGCGCAGAGATGTGCTTGCCCATGTTTTGGAGAAGCTGAGTCATTGGTTCCGAGGTTGAATGACAAACCGCAAGAAGAGAACGAGAAAGCCCGCGTTGAAGCACTATTGGCGCCCTTGGTGTACGGTGATTCACCGCTCCACCACATGGCAGCCAACGATTGGATTTTCATTCAGGGCACGAATCGCGGTGGCCTGTCTGTGGCCGACTCGCTGGGCGACCGCTTGCTCAAGGACCATGGCGTTTGCAGTTCTGTGGTTGTGCTTGCGGCTGTGGACCTCTGCTTGATCATGGCTGGGCATGTGGCAGTTTCTGATTCTAATTGTGCCGTCAAGAAGGTTGCCAAACACATTCCAGCCGGCCACCGAGGCGCCTGGCGCGAGGAAGAGTTGTGAGTCTTTTCAAAAAGTGAAGGTGCTGTCCCTGGGCCAGATTTTGCAGAGGCCGCCTATCAAGCACTGGGACATGCTTGCGAGTTTCAGTTGTCGCTTCCCCTGCTTACCTGGTTTTGACCTGAACAGAGTTCAGGTCGGCCATGTGCTGGGAATGAACCACGCAAGCGAACAAATCAACGATAGCGGCCTCGAGCGATGCCCAAAGTCCAGCAAATCTGACGGAGGCCTCGGATGTGAGCGACGTGACGTTTGTTTGTGCCTGAGGTGGCTGAGCTCAGCCGGGATGCAGCCAAAGACTTCTGCGCCGGCCAGGCAATGGGGTTCCCCCGGGCCCGTTGAACGTTTCTTGTCGACCAAAGCCCGCTGTCAAGCAATAGATCTTCCAAACTGGGATTTCGGTTGAATGGTGGTGGCCTTCTCCACTTCGGACGAGTCAGACACACTGACGCTGCAACATATCTTGGCCTTGCAGACGTATGCGCGCTGCCTTTTTGGCTGGAAGCAGCAAACATGACCTTGTATCTGCAGGTTTCAATTGTTGGCCCCACCATGATGGCTTGTGCCTGGCAGTTTAGTTTATGGCAACGTTTGCCTTCCTACCCGACTAGCCAAACCCTCAGCCCAACTGGTGTCGTGAAAGTCATCCAATACAAAAGCAAGCAAGCAGCGTCATATTGTGCGCAGCCATGCACGCTGGGCGTGTGGCCTGGCTGCTGCTGTTGTTGCTTGGCAGCCAAAAAAAAGGCGACCGAGCAGAGGCTGGGAGGGAGCCAAGGAGAGAGGTGGAAAGATAAGGAGGGAGGAAAGAGAGACCCAAAACATCAGAGAGCGAGAGAAAAAGGATAGCGAGGAAGAAGGTGTCGCTGCTGTCTGGCTTTCCCATGCCCATCCTACCCGTGGCACTTGAGGCTCTGGGGCGCAGACTCGCCCCTCGCCAGGGCTGCGGCGTGGGAAGAAAGGGCTGGAGATTGCTATGAGTTTCATCGGGGAATCTCTCAAAGATGGTTGAGGGGTATGTATCCAACGTTGGATACATACCACGCGATGATGTCCCCTACGCTCATGTGTGTGTCTTACAACAGGGGACCCCCAAGAATGGTGGATTTCCCTTCGGTCTCTTTACAAACTTACCCAAAAGGGGTTCCCCTAAAAAAGACGAGTCCATGTAGCATGGTCGGAGGTTTCGTGGCACCATGCACGGCCATGGCGCTGAGGATTGCTGCTGAGAATCGGTCTGCGCGGGTTCTCAAGGCGCGGTCTAAGTCCATGGCGCATGGCGGTGCTCGGGTTCGGGTTGGACACCGATCCAAACTTTGAAGAAACAAGTTTGCCATGCCTCTTGGGTTTTTTTCGACTCAACCGATGGCCTGCGCTCAGGAGAAGGACAAGAAGCCAAACAGGGCGGAGGTGGTGAATCTTGGAAGAAAGACAGAGCCTACGGAACGCTTGCGGAACACCCGGCCTCCAAAAAAACGCAGGGTGCACAGCAAAAGTTGCATGGCCACGAGTATTTTTTTGCGCTGGGAAGGTCTTCAACTTGCTGCGCCGACGCAATGCAATGCCCAAGGAAGAGGCTGAAGGCTACGATAGCGCGACTGCAGGAGGAGAAGCAGTCTCTCAGCAGTGAGGCTCGAGTTCCACACGACGTGATGTACGTAATGCTTTTCCACAAGTTGAATCCATGGCCTTAGGAGGCTGTGGCCTCCTTTTGTTGTGCCCTGTATTGACCTGTATTGAGTCCTTGCCCTCCCGAAGCAAAGCGCTTGGCAGAGCTACCCTCAGGTGAAGATCAATGCCGAGGCAGCTGCGGCAAAGGCTTGAGCCATGCACGTGTTTGAGATTTGACAAAGAGACTTGCTTGGGTTTGTTGGTACTATGAACCACGAACCACACCGTTTATCATGGTTGGCTAGATTTGCTTTTGGGGGCTTTCCCACAATGCCAGATTTTTCGCGATTGCAGGCTGGTGAATCCTTTGTATTCGTGCGCGCGGGCGAATGACATCAGATTTCAACATGTCACGTGTGGAGCCAGAGCAGGACCCAAGCTTCTGAGCAACAGACACACAGTGACCTTTGAAGAGCGCAGTAATTAGTTTGTCGGGCTATCCACGTTGCTAGGTGAAAGCCGTACGTGAGTGCATCGTGCCTTATGCCGTCCTAGGACAATATTTGAGACAGGTTGAGATTTTGTGAAGTAGCCCGACTGCTGGCGGATGTCAGCGTGCCTGTGGTGACAACAATGTATGCTCTGTTGCACTCCTGAAACTTTGTACATAAACACAGAAAGTCAGGAAACCCTTGCTGGGAACGTAGAGGCACCCTTGGTGCGGCTTGTTACGTGTGGGAAATCAAAGGTTTGTTGGGGGACATGGGAGCCCGACATCTCCATGTTAATGTCCTTTTGGGGAATGAGTGGAGTTGAGTCCGCCTTATATGGAACAACTGAAAAGCCATTTGGCAATCCACTGGTGCCACAACCTACATTTTCCCACAAACATCCGGGACAGGGGGGCGGGGGGGTTCCCATGCTCGCTTGGCAGGGTTGGGCACAATTTGTCTTGAACCTTGACCCCCGTAAAGGAGGCCAATAGACAGTTCATTATTTGAATGGCGTTTCAACTATGAACACAGGTGGCGCAACCAGATCGCCTTTTGGCGAGCAAATCACGATCATTTGCGAGGCGAACCAGATTGCTGAGCTTAGCAACCAGGCGCGGAGACTGGCGGAGAGGAGAAGTCAGCGCAGGATCACAAAGGAGAACTCAGAACCCTTGTATGCTTATGTGGGTATGTGTTTTTCTTTCTGAAACTCTGCTTGATTGGGTTTAAGAGGAAAACAACAAGAAAACAACAACTTTCTGAGGGGCCGTCAGTATAAGACAAACCCATATCTAAAGCTGTAGGGAAACCAAAGACACGTTTTGGTGCGCTTCTTGCAGAGTCGCGACCAGCTCCGGCATGCCCTTTGGCCTGTTTGGATGTTGAAGCTATCAGCCGAATGCAGACTGCATTTGAGGACAGTCGCTTGACAATGATCCATTCAAGGCAAGATGAACAGGTCTCCAACTTTTTCTTTGATGCTTTGACCAGAAAACCAGCCAGAAATTCGCGCATCATTTGCATATATTTGCATATTTCTCTGGGTCTGTGATGGTTCGGTTTTCTCTCACCTCCTAACCCCGTCGCGCCCTGCGCCCGGTTTCTCTGGGCTCTCAGTTGAGCGAGCAGTCCAAGACCATCGCGAGACTGCGAGGGGACATGTCCCAGAAGCCCGGGACCCAGGATGCGGAGAGTCCAAGTGAGGTGCATTTGCCTCAGATCCACTTGTGGCTTCGCGAATCCAAGCAAAGGGGTATGTGTGAAGTGCTGAAGCTCCTCGCAGTTCTTGAAAGAAGCTCCATGCTGGCCAGGACAAACATCAGCTCCAAGCATGTTTGCAAGCTTCTACTCAGTTGCGCGTTTTGCTCCGAAAGCAACATTTTGAAACAGACGGGTTGACGAAATGTGGCCATCCCACACCCGACTCAGGGAGGCAGTCCAGGGCGCTCGCTTTTCAGTCACCCGAAATAAAAGCTCTGAGATGGGTATGTCCTAAAATCGGGATTTGGACCCCGAGACCCAGAACAGGCTTGGATTTTGCATTGTGTTTCTTCCTAATCACATCAAGCTGAACAGGGTACCAACTCCAAGAAGCCCGCCTAAACCTTCGAGCAACATCCACTGACCCAACTTTGGTCAGCCCCCCGAATTCTGGGTACTGTATGGGATGGAACTGTATTCCTTTCCCATGGAACCACCCTGAAAGAAAGGCGCTCAAACCCCAAATCATTTCGAGCCTGTCCGAGTCCGAGGAACCCCAGCCCGGCGGCGGGGCAGGCGGAGGTGGACTCCAAGAGGCGGCGATGGCTCACGACTCGATCCCGCGCTTGCGGACGGGCCTCGCGGTTTTCCCTTCAGCCGCCATGAAACCCAGCGGCACGACGTCTGAACTCCCCAAGAATAGTTGCCCGTGCCACCAAATTTGTTTCTGTTTTGGAAGTGGCTGCCAGTTTTTTTTTCGGGTTGGTCCAACAGGGGGAACCGAAGGGAGGAAACCCACTGTTTGTTGTCCATGTTATGATCAAGGGGAGCCAAAAGGAAACCGTAGCGCCGAAAATGGGTCGTCCACAACCAACAAGTTTGGGCCTTCGCAGGGTGGAGAAGCTGACGGCGGAGGCCTCCAAAAACCAGCAGGCGGGCGGGTCGCAGAGCCCCCAGGGCCAAGCGGTGGGGAAGTTGGACCCCTGAGATTCCGAGACTCACTAGTTCGCCAGTTGTCCCATGGATAAACGGGCAGCATATTTGATCGACATCCCGCGCCTTGGCACTGCCATAGTTTGCACGGAAGGATATTCGAATCGTGCAAAGAGGGTACCAAAGGGAAATACATCCTTGGACATGGGGGGTCCTGAAATTGCTTCAGCTGGCCAGCATTCGAGGGTATCAAAATGGACCCAGCAGCAAGCGGACGGAACTTTGGCAGGAGATCGCGGAGCTCACAGCCCAGGTCTCGGTGTCTTGGCCGGAAACTTTGAGGGTAGATGCCGCTGGGCAAGCCCCGGACGTCCGGGTTTCCCTCAGGTTGCGTCAGACTGACAGGTCTAGCACTGTTTGAGTGTTGCCCTGACTTGCTGGGATATTCTGCTCACAGTGCCAGCAACTGTTCAGGAGTTCGATGTTTTCTCATATGGTCCTCGCAAGGAGTTGAGTTGTTCATGCTGGGTTGTCCTCGCAAGGGCTGGAAGGTGTTTACAAGTCGGTTTTGCATGGTACTGCGGTTTGGTACTAGGTTTTGCTCCTCCCTGGAGCAGAGCCAAACCTCAGTGATACCTCGATTCTTTTTAAGCTTTGCTTGTCGGGGTGATTTGGCCCTGGAGTACCGGCATCTTCTACCGCGATGTTTCTTTGCGAGGCGCTGAAGATTGAGAAGCAGCGGCTTGAAGAGGCTGACGGGTTCGGGGGTTCTGGGGGCAATCAGCGAAAGTTTTCTCCGCAGCATCCGGCCCGCAGCGCTGGGGTTGGAATGCCTGAGCCAAGCGCTCGGAATGTTTGAACGCCTTCCGATGGCTCACGGCAGAGCAGCACCAACTTGGGATGGTTTCCGGTCGCGCGCTTGACGGCCTCAGGCGTCATGAGCGTGACCCCATGCTGGGGGCGTTTTTGTCGCAGGACTGGGCAGCAGCGCTGGCGCTGGTGACGGCGCAAGTTGAGCCCAACATCAATTCCTTTGATCGAGCAGTCGGCGCTTCACGGCAGGCCGGCAAGTGGAGTTTGGCTGGCCACTACCTGACGATGATGTCGAGTCACAGGGTGCTTCCCGATGAAATCTTTTGCAGCAACGTGATAAGCACGTGCTTAACTAGTTTGCACTGGACCTTTGCGATGTCCTCTCTCCAACTCATCTCCATGCTGGCAGTCCAGCCGGACGTGGTTTGCCGTGGAGCGGTGCTTGGGGCTTCCAGGCAGGTCTGGAAGCAGGCCGTCAAACTCTTGGATCAGCCCGCGGCTGCAGCCAACGTTTGCTGCAACGCAGGGATCAGCGCCTGTGCCAGCGGCTCCCAGTGGCTGCAGGTGATGCAGTTGATCTCAGTGATGCGACAGAAAACGACCGAGACCGATGCGATCACCTTCAGCAGTGCGGTCACCTCCACCGAGCGTCGCAGGTACTGGCGCCTGGCCGTTGCCTTGTTGTCGGCCTCCGCAGGCCCGAGCGGCAACGCGCTGAACGCCGCCATCAGCACCTACGAGAAGGCTGGGCTGTGGCAGCGGGCGCTGGGCACCCAGTGCGACATGGGGCTTCGGCGGGTGGTAGCCACACGCATTACCTTCAACTCCCTCATGGCCGCGTGCGAGAAGGTGGCGTGCTGGCAGCAGGCGGGGCACTTTCTTCGGGACAGCCCAGACATCTACTCTTTCAGCTCTGCGCTGAGCGCGGGCGTGAACGCCAAGACCTGGGGATGGGCCGTTTGGTTGATGGAGAGGATGAAGAATGCAGGTGTGAAGCCGACGGAAGTGAGCTGCAGCACAGCCATGAGCTCTCACGGTTGGCAAGCTGCCATGTCCAACCTTTGCCCACAGACGTCCCTGGACACCGTGGGATTAAATGCGGCAGTAGCTGCATGCGCTAGCGGCTATGCATGGGTTTGTGCACTTCGCTTGCTTCAGAGCACACGCGTGGCTCGAGACGTGCTTAGTTATCAGGGAGCAGTTTTGGCCTGTGAGCAAGCCCAGCGAACGAAGCCAGTTCCTGCACTGCTGGCGTCGACTGCTTGCCAGCGGATTTGCAATTCGCCACTGGGAAAACGATGGCACACATCAAGAGCCGTATGGACATGCCTTTGCATGCAACTGGGGAGTCCCCAGATCTTTGTGCCTGGGAGTTGCCAGGAGTTTGGAGATCCTTCGCTGCAGTACTTCCTCGCAGCCAAGGCAGGGGGACCGGGGAGCTCGGGACCTCGGGACCTCGGGACCTCGGATTCGCCGGATCGGCTTGGTGGGTTTGCGGGGCTGGAGTGGGTCAAGTGGCGAGCCGAGGCCACGAAGGTCTACCAAGATCCGGGAATTCAAGGCCTGGAAGCCTCGGCTCAGGCAGGGCACCTGTGAGCCTGTGAGCTGAGCCAGGCGCACGCAACAAGACCTTCAAGTACGTCTTGCCTCATGTGGCGGATGCCTTGAAGACGGGCACTGAGGCAGGGATCGGGACGATCAGGCTTGAGATTCGTGGATCACCGATTATTTTGCGCTGTGACGGACTCGTTTGGATGGGATCGACTTGGGATGCCACAAAGGGGACTGCGCAGATTCGGATTTGATTTCAGTCTTGTTTCCTTGAATTGTTGTAGCCTAAACAAACCACCAACAAAGGCCGGAAGCAGATGACATCCATCCGCAGGTCTACTCTGCGATGAACTCCTCGCTGCTAGCAGCTCGAGCTGCAAAGCGCCGGTCCGGTGTGTGTTCTTTCTGGGTATGCTTTTTGGGTTTAGCTTCAAGAGAGAAGAAAGGGCAGCCAGCCATGTTTGGTAAACCCCATGATGAGGAGGGGCCCACGGCCTCTTGAGCGGGTCACGCGCTAAGAATGCGAACCGTAGTACGATTCGCTTTGAAACTGCGAGAGGCCCAAAAGGAATGAAATCTTGGCGCAACTCTGGAAGACTCATTTTGGACAAGGCGCAATCGTGCACTACAGCCATAGCACAGGCACCACGTTCGTCGGGCAATCGTCATCAGCTTCTTGACGAGTCATTGCCTACGGGATCCTACGGGTTTTGCGCCGCCCTTGTCCCTTTGTAGACAAGGCACAAAAGGCGACCGCGTCTTTTTGGTTCCCCTTTGCCCCACCCTTGGGATGGCCAGCCTCAGGAAGGGATGCACAGCCTGCTGGGCGCAGACTCCTCCGTGGAGCCCTGGCTGCCCACAATGTCGGCCTTCCTGGTCTACGGCGCCTGGGCTGCCCACTGCGACGCCTCGGTTTCGGGGTTTCACCGGAGTGGGAGAACAAACACGGGTGCAGAAATGCCTCCAAACCAGTGAAGGATGCCCTGTTGGATTCGTCGAAGGAACCGGATACGATCTGTCTGAATGACCAGGCGAGGTTTCAACTGTGGCCAGGTTTGGATGTTATGATGTGCCAGATGGAGCATTTTCCTAGGCGGGAAGCTATTTTTCCTTCAGGTGAGCTCGACTGTATTTTCAAGCCTGCGGCATGCGCTTCTTGGTACCAACAAACAATGATCGGTGACGTTGGCTCATGCTTCAGGTCACGCGTCTAAAGAAGAGACAGCTGCTTTCAGAAGCCATCATGTCATCCTCCCGAGATGGGGAGGTCATGAGGAGCACGGTGAGGCAAAGCTCGTTATACGACTCCCTAATGGTCGGAGCGCACACAAATAACGAGAACGTCTCTATAGGAGTGACGAGAGTTGGCGGCCACTATCGGACTTCGACATTTCTGCAAAGGCATCTTGACAACCAGCCCCTGCCCTTTAAAGGGAAGTCAGCACGAGCTTGTTTAAACACTAGCAGCGTTTCTTTATGCGTCAACAGTTGGTTGGCCCCAAACTTTTGGGGATTCTACACTGCACGCTCAGAGCACAGGCTCTAAGATTTGGACACCTGAGGCATGATTTGCTGCCCCTTAGGCGCGGGCGTCGCAGAGTGTCGTGTTGCAGAAGCACCGTCCTTTCCTGATACTAACCAACTTGATACAAATGCTTCAATTTTGGGATCTTTGGTGGACATCATCTATCCATTTACATGGGGATTTGGGTCCGCCAACCATCTTTCCAGGGCCTTTTCATCGAGGAAAAGACACCCAAATAGCTGACGCTTCACACGCCGAAGAGAGCGAGCTTTCAACCGCCAAGTCGGAAGCCTGTGCAGGTCTCGTGTTGTCCTACTGCGCGGAGTGGGCAGCTAGGCCAGCAATAAGTGCGAATGAACTCATTGCCAATGGACTGATGCGACTGAAGTTTGGTTTTGCTTGCATGCAAATGATGTGGCTGCGGGTCAAAACCCTGTACCCCTGATGAACATCAAAATATGTGGCAAATGGATGTTCATCCACCTCAAAGTGGAGCCATAGCTTATGCTCCATGGCCACGTATGTGCGTGTGTGTGTTAGCTGAACTGGGCTGCATCTCTGGGTATTTGGAGCGAAGCGGTCCGCTTGGTTCATCTCTGGCCAGCCAAAGCACAAGCCGCTGAGGTCTGCAACACCAAGGAGCTTTTGTCCCTGGGGCTTATGAAGCGGGGGGGTGGCTCGGGCCCAGGGTGGTGCGACAGTGGATCTGAGCTCTGTCTCAATGAATGCTTTCATTCCTAACGTATTTGTTTTGTTGGATGGACAGGTGTCAATTTCAGACTCCTTAACGTATTTCAGAAGTCAATTCGAAGGGAGACTTGTTTTGGCACAGCCAGATAAAGAGGAGATGGGGCACGATGGTCAACAAGGTGCGGAGTGCCGGTACAACATGAGGGTCATGACGAGTGGAGGGACTTGTATGATCAACCCCAAATGTTGTGATGGCCTCAGAGAGTGACCTTTCATACGGAACGGCAGCCTCTTTGCTCTTCGTTGTTGCTTTGTAATCAACAGCATCAACCTACAACTCAGCAAGGCCCTCCCTGAAGTTCTTTGGGCAAGCTTCTTGCACCCTTTGCGTTGGACACCTCGCAGCAGAGGCTCGGCTGTGGCTTCTACTTGGCCCCTTGGCGGGCATTGATGGGGGCGGGGCGTGAGGAACCATTCGCGAGTGGCGCTGCAATTACACTCTTCCAATGGAAGTGTTTGATATCGCTGTGTTTTCTGGAAACTCGTTTTACATTGGTCATTGATTGGCTGAGCACGGTGGGACGGAGCCTTTTCCTAGGAAGCGGAGCTGAGGGTTCCCAATTGTTTTCTACTAGATTCGGAAAGCCTTCACAGATGCCCCATTCTAGCTCCCTGCATCCGCGTTGCTCTTCAGAGATATACCGGCCTGACTTGTATGTCTATCCACCAGACCTATGTGGAGGTCCATGAATATGTGCTTGACTGGAAGCCAAAGGAAACCATTGCGGCTGGTGAGTTTCTCGGCGGAAAGCCGATGTAGGTGTGCCTTTGCATGGGGCAACACCCCCAAAATGGGTGGTGTGCCTTTTGGGATTCCCTTCAAAACAGTCCAAACATAAATAGAGGTATGTGCCAAGTAGAGAGACCCCAAAAATGCTGGTTTTCCTTTTGGCTTCCCCTTAAACTAAAGTGACAGGGTTCCCTCATCAGACAGACCATGGTCCAACCCTTTTTCCATGGGTTACCCCGTTTGGTTTTTCTTTACACGGTTGGTTTCCCGTCTGCTTGGGCCCCAGCCAAACCCCCGGCAGCGGTTTCCCGTTTCGGCCGAGGTCTCGGTTTCGGTGCTGTCCGTGGGCTTCGTCGCAGCCACCCAGAGGGACCCTTTGAAGGAGCTGGCGAACCACGACCCCACGGCGCGGTTGGGACGACTTGCTGTATGGTGCTTTAGGGCGTGAGGGTTTTAGGTGAGGCTGTAGGGCAAAACTCACGAAACCACGCCCTAAGGAAACCCAATGCTGCAACACACCTAGCACAAATCAGCTCCAAGCAAATCGCAAACCCAGCAAAGTCCCAAAACCCCGACCTAAGTAAGGTCAAAGCCAGCCTGAAACCACCCACAATGAAAGCAGCCCCGGCCACCCAACAGCATGCAACTCAAGGCGCTAGGCATGCTGGGGATGCTGGGGATGCAGGGGATGCTGAAGATGCTGGGAACGCTTACGATACTGAGGATAGCTGGTGCTGATGGGAATACTGGGGATGCTGGAGGTGCTGGAGATGCTGGGAATGCGGATGCTGGGAATTTTGGGTATGAGGATGCTGGAAACTCTAAATCCTGCTAGATCATGCTGGAAATGCTTGGGATACTGAGGGCATGGTTATGATGGGGATGCCGATGATGTTTGTGATGCTGGTGATGCTGGGAATGCTGGGATGCCGGGGATGCTAGTGATTCGAGTGATGCTGGGAATGCTGGGCATGCCCAAATGCTGGGGATGCTTGTGATGCTGGGGATGCTGGGGATGCTGGGGATGCTGGGGATGCTGGGGATGCTGGGGATGCTGGGGATGCTGGGGATGCTGGGGATGCTGGGGATGCTGGGGATGCTGGGGATGCTGGGGATGCTGGGGATGCTGGGGATGCTCAAAATGCTGGCGATATTGGAGAGCGTGATCCCCAACCCTAGCTGCAGTTTGGGTGAAAGCAAATGGCACAACTCCTCCATGTTGGCTTCATCTTCCCCTTCATATATTCACATCAAGAAAGGTCGCCAACCACGAGCCCAGGTAATATAATGGCCCAAATGGGTAGCCTCAATTTGGTCAAAAGGCTTAAAATGGGCCAAATACACCAGAAGATGCGCCTAGGGCTGGTGTTTTAAAACAAGCCACGTGTGCTGGCGAGCTTGGTGGTGCAGCTTGTTAGTTATGAAAGAGAAGGTTTGGAGTTCCCCGGGATTTGCTCAGTTCATCCTCTCGCACTCCAAAGGCTGGCAAACTTGCTTTCGTGCTTATTTGGAAAGCCAACTTCGAAATGTTCCATTGTTAGCCAGACAAACTACCTTCACCATTTTCAAACCACGGTACTCTGAAATTATCGAAACCGTATCGCACTACCAGACCATTCCAAGGTTTTCCCTTTTTGTTTTCCTTTGGTTTCCTTTTCAAGCCACTCCACAACGGCTACCAACTCCCAAGACACAAACATGGACGCCTTGGCTGGATTAGGGAAGCCAAAAGGAAACAGCCCATTTTGGGGGTTACTTACTGTCGAAACAGCCCATTTTGCACCAGTTGGCGGCTAGTCCCAGTAGGGCATCATCCACTCCCAACTGGTGCGAGGTGGATTTTGTCCAGCCGCAGTATCGACTTCAGGAGGGGAAGCCAAACAGACACCGCCCATTTTGGGGTCCACTATTTTTTTTTGACAAATACCGATGCAATCATTGGAGGTGCTGCTGCTGCAGCAGGTAGGCTTCGTGTCTGTGTTGCTGGCCTACCTGGTGCTGCTAGCGCGCCTCGATTTGTGATTTTGGGGGGTTTTTCAAAGAGGTTGGTCAGGGGAAATCAAAAGGACACCCTTGGCATTTTTTTTGGGACCCCTATTTGGAGAATAGCGCAGAAAGGCTGGATGATTGGCCGTTCTATATTTGACTGGCTCGTATCAAGAAAGCAGGATGAGTAACCCCAGCAGAATGAAGTTCTCATAATTCCGGGTTGCAGTGACAGGGGCAAATGTTGAGTCTATTTATTCGGTGTATGTGTGTATATACAATATACAAATGGATGGTAGATCAAGGAAGCAAAAACAACCAAACATCAGATCAATAGATCAAGAAAGAACGAAATACTGAATGAATGAATGAATGAATGAATGAATGAATGAATGAATGAATGAATGAATGAATGAATGAATGAATGAATGAATGAATGAATGAATGAATGAATGAATGAATGAATGAATGAATGAATGAATGAATGAATGAATGAATGAATGAATGAATGAATGAATGAATGAATGAATGAATGAAATGAATGAAATGAAATGAAATGAATGAAATGAAATGACATGAATGACATGACATGACATGAAATGAATGAATGAATGAATGAATGAATGAATGAATGAATGAATGAATGAATGAATGAATGAATGAATGAATGAACGACTGAATGAACGACTGACTGACTGACTGTGTGAATGAAATGAATGAAATGAATGAAATGAATGAAATGAATGAAATGAATGAAATGAATGAAATGAATGAAATGAATGAAATGAATGAAATGAATGAAATGAATGAAAACAATGAAGTGAATGAACTGAATGAAATGAATGAAATTTATGAAATGATGAAATGAATGAAACAAATGAAATGAAATGAATGAAATGAATGAAATGAACGAACTGAATGAATGAATGAATGAATGAATGAATGAATGAATGAATGAATGAATGAATGAATGAATGAATGAATGAATGAATGAAGGAAGGAAGGAAGGAAGGAAGGAAGGAAGGAATGAACGAATGAACGAATGAACGAATGAACGAATGAACGAATGAACGAATGAACGAATGAACGAATGAACGAATGAACGAATGAATGAATGAATGAAGGAATGAAGGAATGAAGGAATGAAGGAATGAAGGAAAGAAGGAATGAAGGAATGAAAGAATGAAGGAATGAAGGAATGAAGGAAGGAAGGAAGGAAGGAATGAAGGAATGAAGGAATGAAGGAATGAGGGAATGAGGGAATGAGGGAATGAAGGGATGAATGAATGAATGGATGGATAGATGGATGAATGGATGGATGGATGGATGGATGGATGGATGGATGGATGGTTGAATGAATGAATGAATGAACGACTGAATGAATAAAAGACTGAATTAGTGACTGACTGACTGACTGACTGACTGACTGACTGACT